CACACTACAACCGCAAAGTCCGACTAAGGGAGTTCGTCGTGGGCGACATTGTTTTGCACGAAGCAACTCTTGCCACCAAAAATCCGGCTGAGGGCAAGCTGGCAGCCAAGTGGGAGGGACCTTACGTTGTTAAGGCCAGACCTCGGCCGGGCACTTACCGACTTCAGGACATGGACGGTCGAGATCTCCCCTATCCATGGAACACCGAGCACTTCAAACATTATTTTCAATAAAGCCCTATTTTTGTATTGATCAATTGCTGTATGTTCTTTTTGACAATCAACACACTTGGGTGTTTTTGTCATTTTCTCACATGGTGTAAATTTGTGATCAATGGGCTACGCTTTAAATGACAACGATCTTATATCTCACCTATCTGTGTGGTATTTCAATAACACCCTGCTTGCAGCTTCAGCCAGACTGAGTTACTTAAAGCCTCAGCCAGACTGAGCACGAAGGACTCAGCTAGACTGAATTACTTAAAGCCTCAGCCAGACTGAGCACGAAGGGCTCAGCTAGACTGAGTTAATTATGGCTCAAGCCAAACTGAGCACGAATGAAGAGTTTGGCCCAGGCCATTCTTGCAACTTCATGTTTGTAGCATAGTTGCCATACTTAGTTAAAGTCCAGGTCCATGCTTTTACGTCTCTTAACATTCTTTACATATTTAACTTTCATTTTTAATTCCATTTCTCAACACTCTTACAACATGATTTTCTTGTTAACACACTTTAAGACCTTTACGTTTCAACGTTTTTCTTGTTAACATTCTTTGCGTCATGGTTTTCTCACAAGTTAGACTGGCTCCCTACTTCTCAACTTTTACTACGATTTATACACAAGCCTTATTTAAATGTCCATTCTCATTCTTTTCAGATCTCAAGAAACAAAGACAACAGTACGAAAAAGCACAACTCATTATTTTATTTGCACACTTACACATAAGTTCACTACAGAAATTACACGGAAAAAAAAAAACAACAACAACAAAAATTTTATTTACAAACAACAATACGCAAAGTGCAAAAATTTTACATCAATCATTCATCCTCGCTTGAGGCCAGGTTTTCTTCGTCAACCCCTTCATCTAGGGGGGTTTGGGCCACATCGTCTTCATCTATTCTTACATTGCTAAAGTCCAAGTCTGGGAAAAACTCTTTTGCTTTACGTTTAAACATCTTCTAGTCGTTGTCCCAAAACTCAGCCATCTCATGCTTGTAGAAGTCCGACCGCTGGAAGCTCTGGATCACTTCCTCTTTACTCCTACTTTCCAGCGGTCGCTCCCGACGAGCCAGCCACCCTATCCCCCTTTCTTGCCAAGCTGCTGACGATAGCGGCATTAATAGCCATCTGGAAGTCAGCGGACCCCTTGAACTGCTCTACTGCTGCAACACATAGGTCGGGGTACGCTGCCCTCTCAGATGCCAACTTGCTCCTCTCATATTCCAAGGCTTTCTCCAACCCTACCTTCTCAGCCACTGACTTGGCCCTCTCGTCCGCCAGCGCCCTCTCTAACTCAACGATCTTCTGATCTACTTCTTCCTTTTCTTTGATCGACTGAGCGCGTAGATCTTCATTGCAGACCATGGCCTCATCCCACTTTTCATTGGCAACGGTGCAGGCTTTCTGGGCCTCTTCCAGCTTCCTCTGCTCGCTAACCAACTGGAACTCGAGTGACACTACCTTGCGGCGTTCCGTCTCCAGCTCTAACTTGGTCGCGAGTAGCTCAGCATTAGCACGGTCTGCTGAATAGCCCTGTACCATCGCCAACACCTCCATCTTCTTGGCGTTCTGGGCATACTCCAGCTCTCTAACACACGCACTCCACGCGGCTTTCCTCCAGCCCCCAGTCTTCCTCCTTAAACTTTCAAGCTAGGCCTTCACCTTATCCATCTTTGCCTTTTGCGAACGCCGCTTTCTTCAGTAAGGCTCCTGCTAAGGTTGTCACCTCCATCTGGGCTGAGCAGAGCCCCCTTAGCAGTTCGGCCTCTGTAAAACTCGCCATCGAGTGCACTGTCGCGTCCTCCACCACGCCCAAGAGCCGATCGGCAGCAGTCCTAGCTTCGCCTCTTTCTCCCTCCAGTCGCCCGGACACTGTTGGAGCGTGGTAAATGGCGGTCTTCAACCTGGCCCTCTCTCCTTCTCCTTGGGGCACAGGACCCCCCTTGGGCTATTACTCTACCCCCTGCCCAGGGCCAATCATCCCACCTTCCACTTATGTTTCGGGGCCCAGGGCACTCTCCACTCCCTTCGCTGTTCCTTCTAACTCCACTTCGAGGGTCCCCTCTGTCATCCCCTCCTTCATCTTTTTCAACGCTGACCCCTTCTCACCCTTGTCCACCTTTTTCTTTTTCTACTTCCTCTTCAACACAGCCTCCACCTCCTTGTTACCCCTTTCCTTCAACGGATCTACTGGGGGCGATCGTGGCTCAAAACCGCCCAAGTCCTTTTCCCCCAACGGCTTGGGGCGCGGTCGGACTCTTTCATGATTGGCTTCGACAGACAGCCTAACTGTGACTCTTTGTATTTATTGGCCTTGGCAAAGATTGTCCTATCCTCCGCCTCTTGCGTCTTCCTCCTCACTTCTAATTCTGCTGGCGCAAGGTCCCCTCCGGTCGGCTGCGATCCCAGCCCCGAGGCAAATAAGGCAGAGGGTTGAACGAGGTCATCCCACTTGACACCTTCTTTCTCCCTCCACGCCTTCACCTTCTTCACTCTCTCCTGTGCCACCGCCTCCAACCTTGGCTCCACCGACTTGGTTGGCACTCTCCATACTGTGCACACTCTTACTCCCCCGTTGGCGGACACATAGAACCACCACGGCCTCCACCCCTTCACTGACGATGGCAACCCCGCTACCAGACCCTTCCCTGCCGCCGCTTGTAGGGTGGCCCAAGTTTCTTGCTGGCCCGAAGCCTTGTAGTATGCAAAAAACTCATCCACCATCATTGTAACTCCGTTGTTCACTCGCGGCCACGCACTTGCACAGGCCAATAATATCTTTCACGTGTTGGGCATCAATTGACCTGGAGCCACCTCCAACCAACTTAGCACATCCACTCCTATCCGGGGGAGTGGCAACCTCAAACCCCCCTTTAACGTCTCTTCGTAGAGGGCAAACTCCCTCAGTCGAGCATCAGATGGCCTCTTCTTTGATGTTGGCAATTCTAACTCTATTTTCGCGAGGATCTGATACTTCTGGCGCATGCCCTCCAACTCCTCCACGATAAAGGTCGATTTGTCGGCCTTCGTGTGCCAGTGATCTGGCTCTACCTGACTAATCGGCTTTGTAGACACTATTAGCGTAGACGAGCGGGGTCGCCCCGCCGGCTCTCCCTCACTCCCTTCTCGCTTCTCCGTCCTGTATTGCTCCTCCACGTCCACCGCGTCGTCGTCCCCCAACGCATCTAGTCTCATGGTGGGCACTTCCTCTCGAGCCATCTCTCTGGTATGCCTGCGTGTAGCTTCGAACGCTGGTACAAGGTAGTTCACAAAATGTTGCAGAGGTGTATCACTAGAAACAAACGAGTTTACTTCTGGGACGTGCTGGTTTTTTGCACAAAGGTAGGTAAAACGAATAAAACCAAACGCCCAAGGCTTGCTTGTATTCCAAGGGTCAAGGTCAAATTTTGCCAATTTGAAAATTTTCAAAACCGCCTTTTTAAACACCCTATATTGACTTATCATTTCGTTTCTTGCCCAACGCCTAACCTCCCCCATTACGGGATTCCGCCACGTGTACAACCACGATTCACTACCCCTTTCCCCTTCCCTGTCTATTCCACTTCACTTCACCACGTGCCCTGCCGTCCCTCGAGCCCCGCGCATCGCCATTCACCCTTCACGGTCGACTTTCTTCACGGTCGGTCCCTCCCATCGGCCACCCTTCGCGGTCGGCCCTCTTCACAGTTGGTCCCTCCACTTGGTCACCCTTCGCGGTCGGCCCTCTTCACAGTCGGTCCCTCCACTCGGTCACCCCTCACCGTCGGCCCACCTCACAGTCGATCTTCGCCCCGTCGGTTTCTCACAACCCTCGTTTTCTTCATTATTTCCTTCGTTGGACTAAAGCTGCACTTGGGAATGAGGGACTACTGACATGGGTAAGCCCATAAAGGATACAGCCCACTACTTAGGGCCCAATACATAATTCAAATACTAAAGCCCAACGTTGCTGGAGCTCAACATGGCATTAAGAACCAATGACATCTAAACACGTGACAAGAGAAGGACAAACCACATAAGAAGACAAAGATCCTGCAAAGTTATTGCACTGGACATCAGCCATTAATGGAGTTCCTTGCAGCATTTATTGCGATAACCCCTCCCCGTCGGGACAGAACGACTTCACTATGAACAAGGTAAGCTAGAGTATAGACTTTCGGCCAAGGTGACAGGTCGGAAGGGACAACGAAATGATTAGCAGAGGATATAAGCAGGCATCGAAGATAAGAAAAATGTTAAGCTTCTCTATCACTAATCTATCTCTCTTTCTGACTTGCTCGTCGGAGGGTTTGCTGGAGGACTCTCCGTTCCCCGTTGAATTCTTGTGCAGGTCTCTCTGCGGGCTTGGTACCTCGGGCATCGGTTTGGAAAGCGTGAATCAATCCAACCCGTTCTATTTGGAACACGCTGTATCATCAGTTTTCAAATCTCTCAAACCAAACTAGTTTTATAAGGCTATAAATGGACTGAATTTTATTGAAGGACATATCCATCAATACATAGGTTTATTTTGAGTTGTTAAAAATTTATTTTTTGATTTTTTTAATTTTTTTTAAAAAATATAAAAAAATAATATAATTCAAAAAAAATTAAAAATTAAAAAATTAACTTTTAACGCCAAAATAGGCGAGAAGACATTTTAAACGTTATCCCAACTATTCACGTCAAAAATAAAAACAAACGGCGCCACGTAATTCCAGCCGTTAAATCACCGCCTTGGCTTCTAACGTAAGCTTTTCCTTTCAAGAGGCGTTTAAAATGCCTCACAAATTAAACTCTCAGTTTCCACTTGTTTGGACTCTTTCTCTCTCTCGCTCGCTCTTTCTTCTCTTACTTGGCTTCAACTCTCACTTTCCCGCTACTTCGTGTCGATCTCTCTCTCGATGGCATCTCCATCAAACCCTAACCAAAGCTCGGTTAGTTTCATTCATGTCTCTCTCTCTCTATCTCTCTCTCTCTCTCTCTATATCTCTAGTATCTCTCTCACTTGCTCTGTTTGTCTTTTTCAATTTTCTGACGGTTACAGCTTCAGAGCTCTTTTTCCTAATCAGAATCTTCAAAAAGCCCCACAATTGACTTCCAGGTCCCTTCTCTTTCTCGCATTAAATCCTCCGTTTTAGAAGAATTCAGATTGAGACTTTGTTGCTAGAATTCGACCTCTCTTCGCTGTTTGTTTTCTGTCAAAATTGTGCGAAAATAAGCCAAATTGTAGCCCTGATTCGTTGATTCTTCAATAATTGAAAACTATATAAAGCCTGAATTTCATGATGTTGTTAATTTATTAGTTTACCTTCAAAAAGTTTAATTATATGTAGCTTTGGGCTAAGTTGGTTTATTGTATTGATTATCTTTGTGATTGTATTGAATCGGCGCAGAGTGATCATGATAGAGGTTAAGAAGGAGGAAGAGTATGTTATGGATTTAACGAAAGAGGTCGGATTGTCTACATTTTCTCCGGTTTCTGATAGCAGTGGTGATACCTTTACTCAAAGATCACCATCTTCTCAGGCGTAGGTTTTCATTTCTTAATTTTGTACGGTTATATAATTATTATAACATGCAGAGCTTATTTGTTCATTAAAAATGGTTTTTTTTTTTTTTTTTTTTTTTTTTTTTTTTTTTTTTTTTGTAATCCCCAAAGAATTTGTTGATTACCTGGCTTCAAAGAAAGGTTGATGAACCAGATAATGGATAGATTTCTGTTTCTTAATCTTTTTTTTTTATGAGTTTATTTTTCTTTGCTGTTGATGAAAATTTCCCAGTGCTGATTGGACGCTGTTTTTTAGTCTTAGGAAGACAACAATTAGACGATCATCACAAGCAGGCTGGACAGAGGAAGAGGTCAGTAGCCAGAGGTTCTTCTTGAGTTGTACATTACTGTTATTTACATCCATTGAGCTTGCTACCTGTATGGTTTTCAATTTCCCCTGATACTAGCTTGAATTTGAAGAAATTTTCTCTTGATTACAGGATAATCTTTTAAGTGAATATGTCAAAAAGTACAATGGGAGAAATTGGAAGAAAATAGGTGAGCGTGGCCTCATTTTTCAGTGTTTTGCTTATAGCTCTCTGAGTGGGCCTTTGGTTCGCTAACTAGGGCCAACCCTTGAACTTTTTAGTAGGTGCAACTTTTAACGGGTTGAAATGGCAGGCCCGTTGTTAATTTGCTTGTAACGTCTCTTAATTAGTTTCATTGGGTCATGACCATAAATATTCCTATATGGTGGAACAACTTGCATAGTTAACAATGGGTAATTTTAGTATTTGGCTGCTGAGAAGAGGCTGTCTCTCTCTCTCTCTAACCATAGTTCCTTCCAAATTATTTTTGAGTGCAAGAATGATCCCGGTGAACGAATTTATTGTAGGACCGTATGTTTCTGTAGTAATTAAAAATTGGAAAAAGTTGTGAAAACATCAAGATGATGTTTTGCTTTCTCAACTCTGCTGATATAGTTAAATGTTGTTTTCTTTTACAGCTGAATGCCTTTCTGGACGGACAGATGTTCAGTGCTTGCATCGTTGGCAGAAGGTTCTTAATCCTGAACTTGTCAAAGGACCATGGACAAAAGATGTATAAATCAATCTTCTTGCATGATTTTGTTGCTGAGAATAGTAAAAAACAATGCATGTACTTTTTTATGAAACCATTGATGCATGATTGTACTCTGTTTCTCGTTTGAACCTTCAGGAAGATGATTGCATAATTGAATTAGTGGAGAAATATGGGTGTAAGAAATGGTCTGTTATTGCGAAGTTCTTACCAGGTCGAATAGGAAAGCAGTGCCGAGAAAGGTAGGTGGCGCTGTGGTGGTGTTTAAATCACCTTTTGATTAGTATTCTAAGGTTTATGCCTTGAACTGCCATTGAGGTTGTTTGACAATGAAATCCTGAATAATTCTTAGTAATTACTGTATATAGCAGTCCATTCCATGTGCAGTAGTTGCCTTGCCTATTGGGCCTTAATTACATTGCCATTGTCCATAGACTGTTGTCTTTCAGTGCTTTTTTATACAGATTTAATATTTAGCATCAATTTGTATACATAAGTGGACATCAATCAACTTTATTTTGCTTTGCACGTCTTGTGCTATATACACCTTTTTGTTTTTTGTTTGGATGGCACTTTCTTTCGACTCAGGGGGGTATTATTCTCATTAGGGATTGAAAAATTACCTACTGTTGCTTAGAAATTTTCCATCCTTACCAAAGTTTTTGAACTTTGACATGGATTGATTAATCCACTTTTTCTGCATCGTCATGCCATATGCTAGTCATTTTTTGCTACAATGTTTTATTTTTTCAACTTTTAATTACAAAAGCTAAACAATTCAAAGAAGCTGGCTCTGCTGAAAGGGCATTCCTATTGTCATATTGAAGTCAATTTTATGTTATGTAAACGTTTTACATCATTGCATTGAAAACGTTGATAATTTAGGTTATTGAATTAAGAATTTCAGTAGTTCAAAGTAGTTAAATGTGTTAACAGTTGAAACTGACTATCTTTTTTTCAATAAGATTTGTGGCATCAACCATGCATGACTTATCCTAAGCTGATACGAATTTCAAAATTATAAAGCTGATCTGTTATTTATCAGGTGGCACAACCATTTAGACCCAGCTGTAAAGAAAGAAGCATGGACCAAAGAGGAGGAAGCTATACTTACTTGTTACCACAAAATATATGGTAACAGGTGGGCAGAGCTTGCAAGGTTTCTACCTGGAAGGTATGTATTGAATATTAATGTCTTTGCAAGAGAGTGCTTACTAATGTCTTTGCAAGGGAGTGTATTGAATATTAATTTCTTTGCAACGTCATGGATTTTTCTCATGTTCCTCAACTGAAAGATAAACCGGATATCCATGAAACACGTGTAAATAAGTATTTATATAAAAATATGTTGGCTAATTGTGGGCACAACTTGGAACAAATATTTCACAAAGAAATTAAGTGGGCATACAAGGTTTATCCTGAGAGTATACTAAATGGGGACATGTAAGGTTCTTATGCAGATGACCATTAGGGGGTAATTTCATGAGGCTGAAGTTTATTATTTACTTTGGTATTTTGCATCTCTAATGTGTATGTTGCTATTTGTATTATGATCTTTGTCTTTTGTGTTGATTACACATGATTCTTCTGACATTAAGCATCTTAATAATGCTGGAATTCTCAAATGAAACTTTTTGTGGCCAGCACACTAATTCTACGGATAGTACGGGTTCATGAACATATTACCTAAAATTTCAATGCCATGCATAGTGCAAAAGAAAATTAAGAAATTAGATTGCTGACATGTCGTGCTGGTCATCCAATAGCGAATGTCTCATTACCACATATGGATGGAATTGATTGTATGATTGTACAAACCACTTGGTCTATTAGGTTCACAATTCAAATTTCAAGTGTCACTGAGTACTGGTTTGAACATTGCCCTACAGGAATCTGAAGATGAGAAAATTCCTAATCTGTGCCCATGTAATTGTTTATTTATTATCATTTGATTTTATCTTTTTGTATCTTTTGGGTATTCTCAGGACTGATAATGCTATTAAAAATCACTGGAATTGCTCAGTGAAGAAGAAGTGGGATTTAAATCTGCCTCCCAGTTTGTACTCCCAATTCCTTGCTGCATCTCCTGATTTCTGCAGCACTGAAACAAAATCAGTATGTGCTGAGGTTACTGTAGACAGACATAATCTCACTGAAGTGTCTGTTGATCTTTCAAGGGGTAAAGAGCATGTTGGTGATGCTTGTTCAACAGAGTTGGTTCTTGGAAATGCTAATTTAGGTGAGAATCGTTTAGAATCAAATCCTTCTATGCTAGGTGCCTGTAGATTTTCAGAAGCAGGGTTAAATAAACTGATAAGTCCACTTAGGAGGATCCAGTTTAATGGGACAGCTATCGCAAGTCGTTTGACTAATGAACCATCTCAAGGCAATGATCATCATGATATTCGTGGCACCTTTCAAGCCTCTTCTTCAGATGATTTAGTTGTTGCATCTTGTTCAACTAAATCCAGTTTTACCCCTCTTGATGTTGTTCTTCCTGTCACTACTGAGAAAACATTTGAATCACCCAAAAGGCAAAGAGGTCGTGATCTGGATGTTGTGAATTTGGAATCTAGGAGCTTGTTAGACAATTCCTTCTTATGTTTGTCGACGTTTGGAGTTAGGGAGCACAATGGTCATGTTAGCAAGAAAAGCAGAGTCGATGAAACACATCATCTAGATGACAAACACTTTGGTTGCTTGTGTTATAAGCCACCCCAATTGAAGGATTTTGTTATTCCTGATGAAAATGGTGGTCGATGTCCAAGTGTGGAGAACCATGTTAGGCGTGCTAACAGTCAGGTCCATTTTTCTACTCCTCCTGACCTTGCACTAAGTATCTCTTTTAATAGTAGCAGTCCAGAATCCATGTTGAGGAACTCCGCAATGAGTTATAAGAATACTCCTTCAATAATAAGAAAGCGAGCTTCTAGAGAAGCTGGCAGTGGTAACTATTCTGTGCGCAACTGCACTCCTGCAAGGATGATTTCATGTACTAGTGAAGCAGATTTTGTCAATGTGAAGCAGGATGCACATTCTCCATTTCATAGACCTAAAATATCAGTTGCTGATAAATCTCGGGAAAGACGTCTGGAATGTGAATTTGATAAGGAATGGGATTCAGCAGTAGCAAGATGTTGCACCCCAGTTTCTACATCTGCATCATCTGGTCTCAACTTTGGTGCAAATATGATGTTGACTCCTTAAAATCTGTTGAATTGGGTGAGTAATTCGGTCTTCCCCTTGTTATTACTTTTAAAGTCAGAAGAAATTATGAACCCACCTCTTATATCAAAGTTTTTTCCCCTTGTAGTTTTTCGATAAATAGAATTTAAAATGAAAAAAAAAAATGAAAATGAAAATTTGTACACAATACAGGGGGTTTACCCCAGATGCTCGATTGATTCCAAACTGAGCTAACCCCCACTCAACAAGCAAACTCAATCCAAAGAGTTTAACAAAACTCCCAAATGGAGTTCTAGTCTTGCTGTCCACTATTTTTAAACATGGGGTTTTCCTTTTCTTTTGTTTATTGACATAATTCCTTTGTAGTTTGTTGGTTTATGAAAGAGCTTCCTCTTCTTGTGCAATGCTCAATCATGCTTCAGTTTTTCTTTGCAGGACTTTACCTTGTATATCATATATTTGACTTCAGGAAATACTAAAGACATAATAGAGAGCAGTTTTACGGCATTTGGAAATATAGAGGTTTGTTCAACTTCTATAATTTTGGATGTCTCAGTTTTTATTTTGATTCGTGAACTATCAAGTTATTTGATGCAGTAGCATCTGACTTTAAATAATGGAGTTAATGCATGCTCAGTGCTAGTATTATTTTTAGGGCTTGCAATTTTGTTAAATGCTTTCTATACTAACTTAAATCCACCCATACCAGAATATTTACTATGTTTGGATTATGGATTTGGATGGGGATTGGGAAAGGGAAATAGAGAAGAAAAAAAATTGCTTATATTTCATTCAGTGTCATCACTTTTTTCCCTTTCTTTTCATTTTCCAAAGTCCTATCTAAATTCATGATTTAAACACAACGTAAAGGAGAGACCATTTACAGAGCACTCTTGAGATCATATCGAAAGGTCCCCACACTTTAATATGCAATTTGTTTTGAGATCATCGTGTAATTTTAGTTTGCATTTTTCCTAATATAACTACTGAATACATTGGTAATGTGTTTTTTTTAGGAGATAAATTAGTTGAGATCAGTCGTTGCCCTTGTAAAAGTAGTAATTTCAAGAATTTCAACTGTTGGTGACTATTTTTTACCTACATAATTCCTTTAATGGGGATATGTAGCAAACATTAGAAGTTCTTCTTCGAGTTTGCTTCTGAACATAAAAGCAGGTTTTTCAGTCGTTTACCTCAGTCTAAAATTTTAAAGTAGTGTGTTTTCCAAGACAATTACAAGTGGGTTTAGTAATGTGAATTCATCATATTCCTTTTAATAATTTATTTTAACTTTCATAAACACCAGGAATAAACAGATTGCTGCATAAACAGATTGTTGTCCTCTAATGCATAAAGCAAGTAGACATACCTACTATGCACACTATTACATAAACAATGTCAACTTTGGGGCTTCGATCTGTTGATGTTTTGTTTTACACATCTTTTAGTTAAGCATATTTCAACTTGCTTTATATACAAAATTGAACAATAACACCTCTGACAGACAATTTTGTTGCATTGCATTCTGAAAGAACTCTCAAGTACATGGCAGATCATCTATTGCATGCAGATTGAAGTTAAAGATGAAATATATGTTGCTGTAAGTATAGTACCACAGTTTTTCTTTGCCGTAATTGAACTTTTAAGGCCTCCAGGGATAACCATTATTTTATGACCTCCTTGTAAAAATTTGCATTTAATTTTTTTCATATGTTGACTGTCTCGTTTTCTGCAGCTTACAATCAACACTGAAGCATCCCAGCCTATATTCAAGACAGAATCAAATCAGGCAAAGTGCAAATGTTGCCGAGACAACGTGGCACGCATACTGTTGGAATTGCCCATTCCAGCAAGTGTATAATGTTGGAACTTGGAACTCGATACATATGTTGGTTTTCCTTCTGTACTGTTAGAAGAGATGCCTGAGAATAATTTTTTTTGTTGCGTAAACCTCTTTCATGTTGGCATTTTTTCCCTTTTAAAGTAGTAATGAATACACAAAACCGGAGTTTGATTATATCCACACCTACATAGGCAAAGACTAAATCCTTATGACTTGTTTTGAATAGGCTTCACTCAAAAATGCTAATGAAGTTTGTGATTAGCCTTTGTTGCAACAATTTTGATCTGTTTCACAGAGGGTTAAAATATGAATCCATATTTAGTTGGTTTATCAGTGTTCACTTGATGGATGTGTGGTCAGAAAGAAGTAAGAAACAAAAAATATCACATAGCATCATGAAAAATGCATACAAATTGGACGTGTTTGTTTGGCCAGACTAGAGGGAAGAGTGGGATTGAACTGTGGAACATGTGGAATTCTTGTTGAAAGCTTTTATCTTCTTCTAATCTTACCTAGTGTGGCGTATGTTTAACCGGATTGGTAGTTTGGACTGGCATATTAATCTCATATGGATGATTATCGAATCTCACCATCTTTTAAATCTTGTCATATCATTTGTCTCATTCTAACCAAATAAGCTCAATTAGATACCATTTCTCTCATCATTTTAAATCTTATCCCATCATATACTAAAAATATTATATGGGTAGGGTTGAATTGATTGAAAATATTTTCAATTGAACCGTCCTTAATGGGTTGACTATTTTTTCACGTCAAGCCATATACTTGGCAATTTTCAAAAAAGAAGAGAAGTTTTAAGACAGGCAAACTCTGTTCTGAAACAACTATAATAGGATAAGCATGGACCCTTTCTGATTGCAAGAGATTTTTGAGGAAACTTAATCACCAAAGGAAAAGAAAGGCAGTGTGGCTTTTAGCTTCAAAGCTAATACCCAGAACTATTGTAAAGCATTAGCACTACTTTGCTCAAGGAACTGATTTTTAGAATTTTAAGAAAGAATCTTTGTTGTCAATAAAAGCCCTTGAACCATTAACATATACCTGTAATGATATACAAACATAATTTTAGCAAAAACATTCATACACGAGCACAAAATTGTGAAAATTGGTAAATTATTTTCTTCAACATGACCTACCAAACATTTGGTGGGTTAGAACCCAATCAAAAGAGATGGGTCTACTGAAGCCTTATTATAATAGGTTAGAACTAAGTTCAAAGCAGAACTCATTTGGTGCAGTTTCTAGTTAGAAGGTCATAATCTAAATGCAAAAACTATAAAAGCATTTCCTCTTAAGTTGCTTAATAATTAATTTTTAAAAATTTATTTAAATAACTTTTGCCACATAACTTAAGGGAGTGCATTTAATAAACTGACAAACTCTCAAAATAAATAAATAAAAGCTATAATTCCCCAATAAATTTCAATCCAAATTTTTCTATATGTTATTTGCATTAGCATATTTTTGGTGTTTGCTACTTTCAAACTTGGCCAAGGTAATCAGTCAATTTATTCATATGATATATAACTGCAACCTTTTATTTCATGTACAAAAATGCAATCTAAGATGAATTGCAAATTCATTACAAAGGTAATTTAAATCGAAATTGGTAGAAATTCACATTATATTTACTAGTTAGTGAAAAAACCAACTAGCCTAGAACATTCACAACTGTTATCAGAACAAAAGCAACAAACCTGGGACAATTCCCCTCAACATTTCTCCTGTAAGAGTTGGATATGAAATTTTAGAGACATTTATTACCTCACTTCATCTGATCTTTTTTCCTTTTCTTCGGCGATGAGAAGTTTGCCTTCTGTAAACTCACAAGCTTGAATGGGTACCCCAAGCTGCCTCTGAAGCTTTTTCACAACAAACACTTCCGGTTCCTCGCATATGGTGACCACAGTACCCTTCCTCCCAAGCCTGCCTGTTCGACCAGCTCGATGTGCATAGTGAATTGCATCTGTGGGTAATCCCAGATTCACCACAAGATCACATTCTGACACATCCAAACCCCTTGCAGACATCTCACTCGTCACCAGAACTCTCACCTCTCCATTCTTGAATTTCTTTAAAATTGTTGATCTGGCAAGCTTGCCTAGATCACCATGCAGCTCAGCAGCTATCATACCACGGGCCTCTAGCTTGTAGACAGCGTCTTTTAGTTGTTTTGTATGATTCATGAAAGCTATAACAGACTTTGAATCAAGTGCATGAACGCATCTCCTCAGCATATCAACCTTGTGCTGTAACCTTGTGACACAGTAGTAGTGTTTCAGAGCAGGTGGGAGGCTCTCTACTGCAGACTGTATCTGCAAATTCGACGATGAACTAGAATTGGAAGCGTTTTCTGACAAATTAACAGGTCCAGAGGGCGAAACAGATTCAATTGGGTTAACTTTTTTAGCTTGTACAAGAAGGGGATTCTGCCCCCAGCTCCTAGCTGCTCTAATCACTGAAAATGGCACTGTTGCAGACACCATGATAGTCTGACGTTCAGCCCGCTTGGCAAGCAGGTTTTTTGTGCCACGTGTGTCTGCACTAGATTTCCTTCCCACATGTTCCAATATCCGGTGCATGTCCTCCCGGAAATTGAATGAGAGGAGCTCGTCAACTTCATCTAAGACCAGGTAACGACACCCATGAGTGTGAAGTTTCCCAGCTGCACTAATCTCTGCAATTCGCCCAGGTGTTCCAACCACAATGGCTGGCTTGTTCTTCTTGAGAGCTTCTTCTTGCCTTGATCGGTTTGCACCTCCGACAAGACTGCTGAACCAGTTTTCTTGTCTCCAAGGTCCCTAACTCTCAAACTCCCGCACAATTTGCATGCCCAGCTCCCTAGAAGGAGCCACAACTACTGCTTCTATTTCCATTTTCTTCCCAGGTTGTTCACCAGTAGGAGACTTCTTCTTCAGTGGACCCACTTCAGAGAGAATAGGAAGGAGATAGGCTAATGTCTTTCCCGAACCTGTGTATGACTGAATCACGACATCGTGATTTTTAAGAATCACTGGTATTGCTGTTGACTGAACGTCAGTTGGAACTGTAAAACCCTCCTTCTCTAGCCTTTCTAACAACAAAGGTGAGAGGCCAAGCTCAGAAAATGAATTTGCAGCAAAAGGAGCTGCCTCTATTGCAAGTGAATTTTTTACCCCAACTTCCTTAACTCTTTTAACTTCCTTCACTTTACTTCTGGATACTTCAGTCTTGTTAGTAGTCTCAAAATCACTTTTCAACCCTAGGTTTGCAAGGGAGAGAGGCCCATTGTCACGATCAATCCGGCTCAAGAAACGTACACTTGTGTAGAACGGAGCTCTCCTGGAAACCTGTGGTAACTTTCTCAAGGGTAAAACATCACCAACAAAGAGAAGAAACCGTGTTGTGACTAGAGTTGGCATCTTTGGCAGTGTTCTCCGTTCTAATAAATGTTCATGCTATTCATAATAGCACATCCAGGTAGAATAGGATGATCCACAGATGCTAAACCCCTGCAACATAGAAAATCAATATGAAGCTGTCAGTTGATATAGGATAAGAATATTTATAAAGTCAGCAACACAATCATACATTCAAAACAGATATTTGCCCCAAAAAATATGCCATTAGTTTGCGTGCAACTAGAAATATCGGATTAAGGTTGTGCATTTGTGTATGCAAGCAAACTTAAAGTTACTATTTAGAAGAAGAAAAAAAATGCATCATCAAAAAGTAAAATACCAGTAGATACTTCTAAATGCTTTGCTATAATCTAGCAGCATTGACATGGATACGGACATGCAAATTTTCAAAAAATACAAGACACAAAATGTCAAGAATACATGCAAAACATATAATTTTATATATTTATATGTTATATTTTTAAATATTTAATATTTATTTTATGTCAAATATTTAATTTTATTAAATTTATCAACTTCAGGTATGCTTTGAAAAAAAATGGTCCTCGGTGTATTCTCAGCATGTCCAACTCTCTCTAGAGTGTCTGTGTCTGGAAAGTGTCGGACACATATACGTCACCTCTGGGGAGGTATCTGTGCTTCAATTACAATCACTGAAGTATATAATCCAAAAGAATGTAACTGAAAGAGCTCAATCACGTTGACCCACTTCCAAAAATATCAACTAGATCTACATAAGTTTAATGTTCCAATCCAGTTACTATTTCCGATCCAACTGTCTATTATTTACAATAAAAAAATCATCAAAAAATTATAAACCACCATCAGCAACGCACGAAAGAAGTAAACAGCTCAATAGGATACACAAACTTTCTATCACACTAATGTCTGGAGATAACTAGCATAGAATAGTCAACCATAAGGCCGAACCTTTCATGCATTTCCCATTTATCTTCGATTTTAAGAGCTTGTCTGAATTACTATGAGTGGTCATTCTTTTCAATTAACAAAAAACAATTCTTTCTTGACTGAGGCATTTTGTCGAACAACTGGCGAACAAGAAAGTTTTAAAAAATTAAAAAAAATACTACTTTCAACGAGTTTTTGGTTAGTGTCTCTTTCGCCACAAAACCAGAACTTACAGAACAATTGGGCTAATTGGGTTTCAGGGTTTTGAATTATGTACAAAATAGAACAACAATCAAAATTAAAATGACAAAAAGACATTGCTTTTCTTTGCATTTCTGAACAGCAAAACGAAAAGTAAAGAGAAAGAGAAGCGACGAATCGGAGTAAATCTAAAATAAAGAGTACAGACAATGAGAGAGAGAGAGAGAGAGAGAGAGAGAGAGACCTTGGAAGATATTTGTTCAACGGCGCTATGAGTGAAACCCAGTTGAACCATGGCAGACTTGGCGGAGGTGGAAGAGGGCTTCAGGACCATGTCATGGTTTTAAAACCGCCCGGCCCAAATCTGCAAATATCATCCACCTTTCCAATTTTATAGATTAAATTGATAATTCAAGGGTAAATTACACGGTTTATGTGTATGTTTATTACAGCTAACTCTCTCAAATTTGGGAAATTATCCCGACTTCTCTGTTAATTTAAATTTATGTATGATGATTATTACGGTGAGGGGTGAATTATTGTGAAACTTTAAACTTCATGGGACAATCTGTAATAAAATTTTAAATCTCAGAAAGGAGATTTAATTTCTAAAAGGTGAGAGAGAACTATAATACACATAAACCTCAGGGAGTGTCAATGTAATTTACCCTAAACTCAATGTAAAGAAGATATAAGGTATTATATATTTTTTTTTCTTGGTGAGAGGTTTATCATTTGTGAAATAATTTGATGAAAAATTCTTTTGTTTTGAATTAATTACCTAAGAGTCTGATTTGTAAATGTTATAGTAGCTCATGTTTTATCTAAGATTTTTTAAATCAATAAGTCCTATTTAGGGATTGTTTGGGATGTTCTAAATAAGTATACTTTTTGACTTTTCAGACTAAAAAGTTAAGGAAAAAAATATGGTTATTTGTGTTAACTTTTTGAATTTTTATGGAAAAATGTGTATTAAAAAATTGTATGAATTAGTATGTAGGAAAAAGGGAAAAATTAGGATTGGGAGTTGTGCAGTCGTACTTTTTGACTTTTAGTGAATAGTGATAACTTTTTAACTTTTTGAGTAACTTTTTAGCTTTTTAACTTTTTGGGCACATGCCAAACTTGGCCTTAGTAAAACTAATAATATTATCAGTTTTTTCTAATTTTTAAAACTAAGACATTATCAATTTTGCATAGTAATATTCCAAATAATTGTTTCACTAACTGATAAAAAAAATAGAACATGAGATTAAATGTTTTTGCCCTTCTAATTATTGTTTTGATTCAACTATCCAATAAAACCGAGAATATCATCAATTTTTCCAGTTTTAAAACTGAGAACATTATCAATTTTTTCATTTAAATTTTTTTTTTTTTGCACATCAATGTTCCATCGTCATACTTCTTTATAGATACAAAATTTTCAGTTTTACACAAAAAAATAATTCAATTTTTTCAAAATATATATATATATATATATATATATTTTTAAACATAATTTGTTTTTGCAATTTTTTCAATTTGAAAGTTAATGTTTTAAAGTTTTGAAAATCAAAATAAATGTCAAATCATCATGTTCTTTTATAAATAATCATAAATGATGAACAATCATTATTTAAATAGCAATTCCGCCTTTGAAAAATTTAATGGGATTAGAAAGTCTAAAAAAATCTTAGTTAGGACTTAATGGAGTATAAGTTCATCAGTTAAGATTTCTATGTAAATGTCATTTTTGTTTATTTTGAAGGACATTTTATTTTCAATTTTACCTCTTAATTTATCTGTTGACTCTTTTTTGACTATCTGTTCAAATTTATATCTATTTGTTTAAATTATTTTCTATTTGTTTAAATTTTTTGTCTATCTGTTCAAATTTATATCTATCTGTTCAAATTCACATCATTTTCAAACTCTTTTTTTCTATCTGTTTCTCTTTCTACCTCTCTATTTTCTCTCTATTTATTGAAAAATCTCACTATTTTTGTTTTATCTATTGAAACAACTCTCACTGCCTTCTCCCACCACTGTTACCTACATGTAAATGTTCAAATATTTTATTTGTTTAAAATTTTAAGTTATCCGTTTAAAATTTCAATATCATCAACAACAACAACAATAGATCTGAGCCAAGAAAAAAAAAATCTGAGACAAGAAGAAAAAAAGGGAGGAAGAAAAAAAAAAGAAAAAAAGAGAGGAACCTTTCAAAATTTCTTATCTACAGTTGAATATACAGATGAAAATACAAATTTATAGATGAAAATGCAAATCTCACCCCATTCAACAGATCAATTCATTTTTTTATCTGTTTAAATCAAACACAAACACACACACACAGTACAAATACAAACTGATCAACTTCACAAATTTCATAATCAAACACAAACAAATTTCAAAATCAAATATTTATCAAATCAAAACTATTTATTTATAATAAAAAAAATTAAAAAAATTCTAATATATATATATATATAAGTGTTTGCAGAGCAATCATGTTTCTAATATAAACATATATATAACAAGAAACAATAAATAAATACAAAACTTTCTTACTGATGGATATCTACTGAAACCAACGAATGTATATATATTCTGGAACCAACAAATAATAAATAAATAAATAGAGTAATTTAACATATATATATATATATACACATCAAAGCCTCTTCTTGCTGATGGATACTTACTAGAAGTACAAGACCTTCATGCGAGTCCCACACTTGCAGTCCTTCAAACCATTTTTGCCACAAGAAGTGGTGTCGAGCAAGAACGACTAGAAGTCCTCGGTAACAGATCTACTTAGATCTACGACCGGTGGCACTGGTGGTGGTTAGATGGCGACGGTGAGAAAGCGGCGGTCTACATGGTCTCGAATCTATAAATGACAGTGAATTGTCTACTAGAAAGCAATGGATGAAGAAGAAGAAGAGAGAGAGAGAGAGAGAGAGAGAGAGAGAGAGAGAGATATAGATGGATAACAGAGAGAAACAAAGATCTAAAAATGAGGATTTGAGGAATGTATCCAATATACATATATATACTAGTGTATTTTGGTCATTTTGTACAAGCATATCCTTATGGATAATATATTTCAATGCGCAACCTTTGGCCAAACAAAATTCAACTTTGGACTTACACATGGAGTCTCCTTTTAAAAATTAGAATTTCACTATTGTAACATGTCCGGGGGTACCCGTGCATGTTAAACAGTTCGGACTCTCAACTTCTTTGATCTAGTCTCACGAGTCCAATGTGAAACATAGATGAGAGTCCAGATTTGGCAACTTTTATGAAAAAACCATTTTAATACAAAATCTTTGCCAAAAATAGACTACATCACCAGATCTTAAAGTCGTCACCTAATATTTTTTAGAAAATTAGGAGACCCATGACTTGTGCCGAAGCCACTGGCACTGTTCATCGTAACCAAGGATGCTTGGCTCGAAATCTTAGGTATGAGAAAGGAATGTCATTAATTAAGCACCCTCGTTCACTCGATCAAAAAATTGGCCTCTACTAAACCATAATATGAGCTTTATTAACTTTGTATGTTCATATTTTGGTTATTAAATAACTCTTATAATTGACTATGTGAAGCATACAAGTATAGACTATACCATCTACTGTAATGACTCGGATTCTAATTCGTATTGGATTGGTATAAATTAGTACCTGTCACCGTAAAACATGTATGGTTGTCGAACTCTTGACATTGATGAGTTGGCAAGTGAACTCTAAATATTATAATTGAGGATCCTTGGGGGATGTTTGGAACCTTGATTGAAGCCTTAACAAGGTATTTAGGCAAGATTAGATCAAAAGTCTCAAATTTGAGTTTTCATTTTTGACCAACCTTCACTCTTTAACCTTTTTCTCCCTCCATACTGTGTATTTGAATGTAAGGCTGGAACCATTGGAAAGCTTATTTCTGGGGCTTCGATTTGGACATAAGAACGACCTAAAACGGAGTTCGAACAAGAGAGTTATACCTATTTGAATTCTTAATGCCTCTGCTGATTTTCTCTGGGATCGACATCCGAGTTCCAAGGGTCGACCCTTCCTTGCTGTTTTGTCCTAGGTCACATTCTGAAATAAAGGGTCGACACCTGAGTTCCAAGGGTCGACCCCTAGCTATAGAAAACATTAATCTTCTAGCTTTTCTTCTTAAGGGTCGACATCTTAGTCCTAAGGGTTGACCCCTGCGTGTTATTTCCATAATTTTTGGGTCCAAATGGGCCCCACTTTTGGGGGTTTTGGACTTATTCTTTGCAATGACTTTAGGGTTACTTTTCTACTACTATAAATAGACCCAACACTTTTCTCTCTCATGATTTCCTCTTCCTCTTTCCTCTCAAACAGTGAGCCTCTCTCCTCTCTCTCTAAACCCAACTTTTTCCCACTTAGATCGCTAGATCTACTCGTCTTGAAACATCTTCTTGCCTAGGTCCCTATGGGAAGGTTGTAGAGCGCCTCAAGGGCTTTCTTTTGATCCAAGGACTTCGAGATTTCATCAACTTTGGGTTTCTCCGAGTTTTCTTTTCATTTCTTTGAGGTAGGGATACTTTTATCCTAGTATTTCTTTATTTTGAAGAGATTTCATGGTATTGTTGTGACTTATAAGCTAATTTGAGGATCTTATTGGATTAAACCCATGTTTTATATAAATAAATCATTTTGCTTGACTTTTGCTCGAAATTTCTTAACTTTTTTTTCAAAAACATATATATAAATATTGTTAGAACCTATATCCATGATGGAGGAGAAAAACCCCTATATTTGGTAAAAACCCTAACTTTTCAATTTGAGTAGAAAACACTAAATTGAGTGGAATTTCCTTTGATTCATGGAATATTATGAACAATCAAGAGATGAAAGATGTGGATGTTGATATAGTAAAAGAATTGTGACTTGAATGTTATTATTCTTCGAATATTATGTGGTTTTTCATCTATTGTGATGATGGATGTTTGTTGATGTAATTAAAATGTGATGGAATTGTTAATTATGCATGAGTCCGGGTAAGAGTCGGTTTTGAAAAATGTGGTGTTGTGTTGGTACCCGCACGGGGAGTTTAAAAGGTGCCCAAATGCCTTGTCTAGGCTTATTGCTGGACGAATGTGGGAAAAATATTTTTGGGTGTCCACACAGTCCTGTCGTATAATAGCCGACAAAAGTGAAAAAACAGATGGTTTTCTTGGGTGCCCAGTTCCTGCCGTATAATAGCCAGCAAATTTGGGGGATAGTTTTTGAAACTAAAGCAACTTGTGTTGGACTCTTACATGGGACTCATGGTTTGTTTTCCATTGATATGATTGTTTAATTATTGTGTTGTAAAGGTGTGAAATGTAATGGTCCATACTTAATTGTTACGTATTTACATA